AATCAGCAATGACAGCTTCCAGTTTTTTTTTCTTCATGTTTTCAATCTCATCATTGATCAGTAGCATTTTTGACAGCATAGTGCCACGAAGTTTCTCTTGCTTATGAGCCTCGATGCGCACATTGTAGTGATTCCTTGCTGCTGACACTGATATCCATAGTTCCTTCTGAATGGGAACATTCAGGGTACCGCCAGCTTTCTCTACAGTGTCACATACGATGCGTTGTGTCACATAGGACAAGTCTGCGAGGTTCTCTACTGCAACCTGATCATCATCAGCCTGACTACGTCCACTGCAGGACAAAGGCCTCTCCCATGTTCCGCCAGTCAACTCGGTCCTGTGCTTGTTGCTGCCAATTTATACCCGCAACCTGATGATTTACACTAAACCCACGCTTGCCTGTTGCTTGTCCGTGGATGAGAATTAGTAGTGATTTGACAACACTTCAAAGGTCACCATATGAGCAATTTAGGCCAACAAACTAATAGAAGAACTGATCCAGCCAATTCAAACCTTTTCGGAAGAGATTTTTTTTGTTTCTGCAGCAACAACTCCGTATATTCAGGTAACACAGAGTTTCGTTGTTTTTTGTCAAATCTTAGAGCTGCGGCGAGAGCATTAAGCATTTTTCTTGGGCCTGAGAGACATTCATCTGGCTTGCTGCACATAGGCAGGACAGGCCTCTAACTAGTATTGACTTTAAAGGGCTCTTCTATCAAAAACTTGTTGCATTCCATTTTGAACATCTTTTGCACTTGCTCTGCAGTCTCTGCTCACATGTGTAGCATAAGTTTCACTTTTTCCAGTACTTCCTCACGTCTACAATATCAAGCCTCAAAAGGCCACTGATCTCTGCTTCTGACAGAATTGAGTATTTTATAAACTTCATGAGCAGCTTTCTTACAACTGTCTCTAGGTCCCTTGCTAAAAAGAAAACTATAGGCTTGTCTACTTGGTATTCAACCAAGAAGGATCTGATGGCCATGGCAATAATTAAAGCAATGTTTGGCTTTGCTAGGACAAGAGGGTCATGAAAAAATTGACACAAGTTCTCAAAAGATGCGCAACTCAGTAGGGTAATTTTCTTGTTGCTTCCATGTATCATCTTATGTCACTCCAGAGGAGCAGAGCCCTTTCTATCACTTGGACATTTTCCACCCAGTGACATGCTACAAACTTCAGCGGAAATGTGCTCTGCCCAGTTGTGGCTGTAAAATCTTCTCTTTGTGCTGGGTCAAAGAGCGTTCTAGTAGGACATCAAGTCCTCATGTACTAGCCACAATACCCGCCCTATAGGCATTGTGGACTGTGTGCAGGCCTCATGTGCCAATATCAACACACTGCACTTGGTAGTCCTCATGCAAGTCTGCTTGTAGGGACCTAAATGACTTCAAGTTGACATTAGATCCGTCTATGGAAATTCGAATTACCTTTCCAAATGGCAAAGGTTCAAGGGCATTTCACAACTTTTCCTGAATATCATCGGCTGTTGCATGTCCCATGAAGACTGATGGAAGATATCTTGTTGCGACGCTGTGTGAAGAATTCCAGCACCTCACATATACGTCCATTTGTTTCTGCTGAAAAAACTCGTTGGCAGATTCATCAAAAAGCATGACGAAGCAGTCCGAGTTTCCAACCTTGCCCTGCACGGCTGATTTAAAAAAGGTCTAAGCCCGTGGCACGTGATGTAGGAGCATTTATTCTCTCCGCAGGAAAAAGCTTTTGTGAGCTGACTGTCAGGGAACATGCGCCTTAAGAGATCTGCAGCTTGTGCCAAAGACCTGTATGAATAGTCGCGAGTCCACAAGGTTTCAGCATCTGTGACCATGTCATAGGACTTACACGCGCCGTCCAAATCCATCGCCTGAAACGAAACCGCGCGGGTGGGTGCATTGTTGTTACATCATTGGGACAAGATAGTTGAGAACTGTGCTTCCTGCTGCTGCCTTCATTGCGTCACTGTGCTCGCACGTGGCTCTTGAGTGCCGACTCGTCCATTGTCGCGATGGTGAGGATCGATTGTGCACGGCGCAATCCACTTGTTGTAGCTGTCATAGCTAAGCCACCCAGCTTGAAATTTACATTTCCCCAGCATTATGCCAGTGTTCTTGAATAGATTTCGCTGACGTGGAAAGATGGAAGTTCACCTTAAGAAACCCGTTGTACACAGGCACCCGTCACGATCCACAACACAATGCACGTGAGCCGCAATCATGGTGTAAGGCCAGACACCAAACAAAAAAAGTCATGCATTAATACAGCCTTGCATTAATACTGCAGTGTAGCCACAACAGAATACAAAGTGACATTGTGTCAACGTTACTAACAGCTAAATGAGAACCAGCTATCTATGAGTTGCTAATGCTTATGCAAAAAAAAAATAAATATATACCCTGGAAGCCAATCATTAAGCATTGAATGGTGTCTTAAAAATACCGTAGTATTTTTTTCTGTCTGGCAGTAAAAGTCAGCGTTTTTTTATTTTTTTTTATTTATTTTTTTGTTTAGCTGTGACGGCAGAGCACCAACAGCGTGCATTTCACGGCAAGCGACTTTAATAAAGGCGCTAACCATGAGTGGTATAGTTGCTCCACTATGCCCTACATTAGCTTCGCCGCTTGTGCACTTGAGCAAGACAGACAGATAGCGAGAGGTGAAAACACGAATGAGAAGAAAGAAAGAGCAAGGAAAGCAGTGTGAAAACTGGCAAGAAGCCAGCACCGAAAGTCTGAAAGAGTCTCTCCCTTCGTTCGCTCACTGTTTGACACAGTAAATATTTTTTTCCCGTGCAGTTCTGGGAATCGGGACCATCGGTACCATGAGTGATCACGCCGAATAGCTTTGTTTGGAATGGGGAGTTCGTCATGCCGACGCCGATCTACCACACTAATGAGGTCGCGATGTCGATATGAGAGTGCTCTGCTCAATCTTGAAATTCTAGTATTTTCAAGGAAGGAAATAAATTCCAGGACTTTCGAAGGCCTTAAAAACGTAACGTAATCTCTAAATTCTAAAGTTTTCAGGGATTTCAAGGAACTGTGCTGTGTCGTCACGTGTTTTCCATTCACAAAAGCATGGTTGTATTTAGCGTGTTTCTGTAACCCCCACGCCCCCCCCCCCAAAAAAAAAGAAGAAAAAAGAACTACTCGCCTGTTGTGCCTCAAGATTACCCACTATGCTAGATGCTAACACTGCACACTAGGTGCTGTACTGCTGAGTTCGGTGGCATGGGTTCGATTGCCGGCCTCGGCGGTGTAATTCCAACAGGGCTAAATGCAAAAAAACAACCATGAGTTAAAATTTAAGAGCCCTTTAAAGAACCCCAATTGGTCGAAATTAATCCCGAGGTCTTCACTACGGCGTATCATCATATCACGGTTGTTATAAATAAAATCTAAGCAATGATTCTATTGCGTTCCAGAAGTCAGCCGACTTCCAGTGCACGATAATAACCTCATTGTTATTGTGACAAATTTCACGATGTGCAAATTGATAGCTCATTGCTTTTTCCGTCATCATCTAAAAAGAAAACCAAGCACACTTATATAGCACCTTTGACAGTGGGGTTTGAGCATTGCAGCCCGCAGCACATGCGATCACTCTTATAGTATTTGCCCATCATTGAAGCTGAAAGGTTCCACATCCTTGCCCCAACAAAATCTATGGTACTCCAATTCCCGCACGTGCAAGAAGTTGTGGGACACAATGACGGCCAAGCATGGCAGGCACGTAGTTGCCAGGCAAGTTATCGTTATATCACCGCATCACGGCTTTCACAAGTTGTCGTGTGGCGCCACCATAGCTGAAAGTTGTGGATAGCGCATGATGTCTAGAAAATTGAGCAACACTTGATAGAAAATAATAAATGATACTTCTAATATTCTACCAACATGCCTGTCAAGCAACAATAATCAGCATAAATATAATGAATTATCTGAAATGACAAAAATAATGAGGAATAGCATTGCCATTGAAACAGTGTTATAGACATGCATATAGAAAGAATTATCAAATATAGCAAAGCTGTCAGATATACTTTGCTGTAAAAAGTTTCACTGTCTTATCATGAGTATGCAACATGCTTTCATAAAAAACAGGCTCCACAAAAGTTCACTCAAGTACTCCTAGAGCGCTATTATCTCAATGTCAAAGCTTAGGCATGTAGGCAACACAGCATGAAAGAAGACACTCCCCCTGAATATCTTTCAATTTTGCTTGCACACATACGAACTTGTGTACAAACACACATAAAGTATGACTGAACCCCTGCCAAAAGAAAAATTTTTAGCTACGCTTCTGGTCACCTCTAGTAGTTATTCTTGCTGTGACAAGTGTAATCGAATGTGTCGAGTTGCTTTTGCAGAGAATTTGTTCTTTCGTTCTTTGATTAGTTGAACAAGTTATTTGGATCCTGCAATAAGCTTAACTTTCCTTATTAGCCTTGAGCTCAAATGAGAGAGCAATGCGCTGCCTTCTCACCCATTACTGGTCTGTATACACTGATAATAGTTTAGCATTTTAGCCAGAATTCCGAAAAAAAAAAAACCATCTGCATGCTAATAGACGTACTCGAACCTCAATATAACGAACACAGATGTAACAAAATATAGATTATAACAAAGTAAGTAAAAAATAGTCTAGCAATAACTTTTATAACAAATTTTTGAATAAAACAAACTTATTTTCTTGCAAGATGCAACTGATTGATTGATTGATATGGGAGGTTTAATGTTCCAGAACCACCATATGATTATTAGAGATGCCGAAATTGAGGGCGTCGAAAATTTCGATCCCCTGGTGTTCTTTAACGTGCACCCAAATCTGAGCACACGGGCCTACAGCATCTCCGCCTCCATCGAAAATGCAGCCGGAATTCGATCCCGCGACCTGCGGGTCAACAGCTGAGTACCTTAGCCGATAAACCACCGCGGCAAGGCAAGATGCAATTGTTGTAATGAAGTTTGAGTGTATATCCAAGTGTTTCCATTGGCCTTGCCTGTTAATTGGTTTTCCATAATAGGTCTGCACAAATGAGATCAGAGCCCGGCGAAGCAGGTTGAAAACGCCTTGAAGCTCGAATAGTTCATCAGCAAGTGCATACAGTGGCACAGCTATGTCGTCTTTTTTATCCTCTCGCCTGGAAAAACAAAACAATGCACGCTATTAAAACTGAACATGCCAAATCCCCTCCCTTCCAAAACACACAAATAAAGAGGTTGAAGCAAGGCCTGCCTTTTCAGCCCTGGCAGCTGAGCTTTGACTGGATCACTAAAGAATGAAGTGCTAGGAAACTGCAAAGGACATCTGCAAAATAATATTCACTGCTTCAATTCCCAGAATTTACTCAAATAGTCAATACTGTTCTTGTGAATTTGCAGGCATTGTTACAACATTTTTATTCGTGCACTTAAATTTGTTACACTCAATTACGGTAACATTTTGCCATTCATTTCATCAAATCATCACTCCGTTCATCTAACATGTGAAATACGTCTGAACTTTAGAATGTCGTGGAACAGCTGCAGATCACTTGGCTTTCTGCATAAACGTTGGTTGATCGAAAATGTGCAGAATGGCATTACTGTTGAAAGCAGTACATACACAAATAAAAATTGCATTTTTTTTTTTTGCTCTTGTGCCCTCCCGTTCTCCTTATGAGTAGAGACTGCCACCCACAGCATGGCTACTTGAGTGCAAGAGGCACTGGGTCAGGGGTGTTTTAGCCGTGGCAAACATTACGATACCGCTCATCAGCAAGATGTGCAATGTGGTCTGCTGGCCTGCTGCACAAAAATGCCCCCTGGTTGGCTTGCACAACTGTGGTCTTTGTTTCATGAAGGCAAAGGCCTAATTGTGGTTCTCGATACTTCACTTTCCCCAACTCTTTTGTCTTCTCATGGATTCATCATATCATGTTCTGTGCTTCCTGAATTACTGACAGATGAGACTGTTTCACCATTCCCCTTAAGTATGGCATAAACAAGGTAAAAGATATAGCAAAGTTACTTTGACGACCTCTTCATCAACTCCATGGTGATGACCTTCAATGATGACTGTCAAATCCTGAGCAAGTTTTTCCCTACCCTGAGCCAGTGGAAATGTTTGTATAGCACAGTAAGCAGGCCAAATCGGTAAGTTAACATTTCTGGTTAAACGTGTAGCGCAGCACAGACGACATGCAAAGAAACAGTCGACACGAGCACTGACTCTCAACTGAAAAAATGTCTCTTAGCTGAAAACATGTCGGCGTATATCTCGAGAGTGCTTTTCTGAAACCGCACCCGAATTCAAGATGGCAGCAAGATTGTTTTTCAGTCACAAAAAACAACAACTAAGCACTAAGTGAAAATGGGCTTCCACAGAACATTTTGCGGAACTCGTTTAGAGCATGGAGCATAACAATGATGACTCGCAAACGCAACATACACGAAGGCAACATCATCTAAATGCAGGTAGCATCATAGAATGCAGGAACCACCTCCATTGATGAGGCAACACAATCGCTCTGACATTAGCTAACAGCATGGGCCAAAAATACACTCAAACCTCGTTATAACGTAACGCGATATAATGAAATAATGGATGTAACAAAGTAAATAAAATTTTCCTTGAGAACTCCATTGAGAACCATGCATTTTAAACCTCGTTGTAAGGAAGTAAAATTGACCAGTAAATGAATATAACGAACTAATTTAGTCTATCATATAGTCTATCATAAAAAAACCAACTGTTAAGTATGTCGTTTTTTTTGCGGAGTTTGACGCTCATTCGGCGCAGCTCTTTCAAAACTCCCGCGCCGATCTTACAGCCACGCCCCGCGCGGCCGAGCGAGCCATTCTCCTCACACAGCCAGCGGAGAGAATTGAGGAAGCACTCAGCAGGTCACATGACCGAGAAGCGGCGCCACGGTGCAAAGCTATTTCCTTCTCAAGACGGCAACAACTGCGTCTACTCTGCTACTTAGAAGTGTGGCATCTTGGGCTAGTTGGTATGGCATGACGATAGTTATAGCGCGAAAACAAAACGACGACACAGAGACAAGAAGGACACGAAAGAGACGAGCGCTAACTTCAAACTGGGTTTATTGCGCAGAGCACGAAAGTATATAGAGGAGACATTAACCATGTGATAAAAACCATATGACAGAAAGAGCAGAACATGAGTAAGATAAAAACAAAGACAAAAACATAGAAAAACCCACAAAAAAACGGCAAAAAAATCTATAAGAAAACGAAACAGAAAAGTAAAGATACTATAACTACTTGCGCGCACCGAAACCTTCGAGGTTTCGGTGCACCTCGTTTTTCTGTAATTTTTTTTTTTCTTTGTTTTTCTCTTACTCATATGATTTTTATCACATGGTTACTGTCTCCTCTATATATTTTTGTACTCTGCGCAATAAACTCAGTTAGAAGTTAGCGCTCGCGTCTTTCGTGTCCTTCTTGTCTCTGTGTCCTCGTTTTGTTCTCGCGCTCTAACTATCGTCCTCTGCTACCCTCTGCACTAAGAAAGTAGAACTCTCCGCGACAGCTTTCTTCTTTTCTTTTTTTTCCCTCTCTCTCCACTTGTGGCCTTGAAAGGCGAAGGGTTTCTACATCCAGAGATGAAAAATGGAGAAGAAGGGTGGCACAGGCACGTCACAGATCGGCATTTGAGAGAGAGCAAACAATCCACCACAGTCTTTTCTTTCCTTTCCTTTTTTTTTTCCTTCTTCAGCGTTGGAAGATGCCGCTGCGGCATTGGGCATGGTGCTGAGAGCATTTTTGAAGCGCGGTATCTTCGAATTAACCATCGCAAGTGCTTGCGCATTCGAATTACAGGGCGTTTTCGCCAATTGGAATACACATAGCTTTGACGGGACCTCAGCGTGAGTTCGAATTAGCCAAAAGTTCGAATTAATGAGATTCGACAGAGTCTATTTTCCGTGACATGCGTGGTCACGTAGCGGTACATCAGGCCACAAGGTGGTTTTCTTCTTTGCATGCTTATAGGTGTGCGTCCATCTGAGCATACATAGCCACAAATTGTTATAATCAATATAACCTAAATAATAAATATAATGAAATAATTGTGGCTCCCCTTCAGCTTTGTTATAACGAGGTTTGACTGTACACCATGGGTATTATCTTCAAATTGCAAATAGAAGCAAAAGCTTCGAAGGCAAAGCTTTTGCTCATGGGAACCTGAAGGGTGTAGTGTGTCAAGTTTGAGGTGTGGTCCTTGTGTGGGAAAGCTGAAAAAAAAAAAAAAAACTAATTCACATTCCAGTGTTGCCTCAATGCAGTGCATGATCATGATGTGCAGCAGAGGCAGTAGGGAGTTGCTGGAACATCTTCAGTAGGTATAGTGCGTGAAGAAGACAGCATAAAATAAAAGCACAAGTCAATGCCCAGCAGTGCCCTACTTCTGTATGGCTTTATTTTGTTTGTGCACTACAAAGAAACCTACTGAAGATGTGCTACCAACAAGCCTGCATTATATCTTTTGTGACTTTTATTCCTGGAGCCGAGCAGAAACTTGAAATTAGCAGTGAAATATATTAGAGGGAAAGGCACTTGCTTAAGTGCTCGCTTGGAATTTCCAGATACTAGACTCATGCTATAACATTCACAATTAAAAATCGCATGTAGGCGGTTACATCGATACTTGTACTGCTCAACATACTTAAAATGTATTCACAGCCAAATACGGCACATACTTAAAAAGCTATTGCACAAAATAAAACTTACAGGTCCTTATCACATAAATAAAGCTCATCTTCTTCCTCGTTGCTGTCCTGCAGGATGGGGCCAGACAAACTGTGAAATGGCAAAAAAAAGAAGAAGACAGAGATGTACATGAAAAAGCCATCATTTCGCACTGGTGACTGCAGCTTTCAACAACTTGAAAGCTGCTGTCACTAGAGTTGTTCAATTATACGAGGAGTAAAATACGATAGAAAAATCCAGGGATACCCATGACAAATTCGTATACAAGAGCAGACTAACGTGCCACCTGTTATGATAGAAAACTCACTGCATTGCCACGGCAAGAATTGGGAGGAGTACTTAGAGTAAACATGGAAGAGTTTTGGGGCCATTGTATCACCTACGAAATGTAAGCCATAGGCATAAACACACTAACTTCATCAATGTGCCACAGCATACAATACAATGTGCAAAATGGAATTTAATAGCTCATTTTTCTGAGCATACGATGATCAAAAGACCTCTATGATTATGGCCAATAGTGTCCAGAGTTTATACAAAAAACACAGCGGGAGTTTTTCCGCTAGCATTACATAAGAACTCTGGCAATCACAACCTACCTGGGAAAGCGTATTCGAACTGTCAATTTTAGCTTTCACTAATTGAGGAGCTACAAGAAATTATTGGCACTGGTCTGCCAGCTTGATCCAATCGCGCTGTGCTGAAAGAGACTTCTACAAAATACCACACCAAATATTCTGAAGTATTAATGCATCAATTAACTCCCGGCCCTTATTCCCCAGCGGCTGCGAAGCAACTGACCACGATGGCGGTCAGATCTGCAATGCAGCAGAGGGTGCTAAGAATCTCTGGGTCAATAAATGAGAAATTTGATGGCAAATAAAATGTCCTCAATGACAACATGAACGGTTTGCATGCTTCGAAGGGGTGAATATGTGGACTATAGTGAATGAGACATTGTTCACGCCTGGTGCAGTACCTGGCCACTACCTCCCACATGCATACTTAAATTAACTCACGTCCCTCAGCCCCCAGCGCCTTCGAAGCAACTAACCATGGCGGCGGTCAGATCTGCAATGCAGCAGAAGGTGCTAAGAATCTCTGGATCCGGACAGGCCGCCATTGGAACCTGAACTTAGCAACAGTTAATGTAAATGTGGTTGTAACAGTGCACTCATAGCGTGCTGGCATGGTTACGTGTTTGTTTGTTCTGTTTTACCACCATGTGTGCTTCCGATTATAAATATTACAAGTGCCTCCTTTTGTTTGAACGTTTGTGCTCAGGGTGTTGTTTCAAATTCAATATTAACTTTACAACAATGCCAGCCACGAATATGGGTGCTTTTCAGTGGCACGTGACCCTTGAAACACTGAAAAACGAGTAGCTTATTACTCACTTGCGAAAAAACTGCAGCAAGGGAAAAGAAAGATTCTTCTTGGCAATGGGCAGCTCCTCTTTCAGAGGATCCGGGCTCTGGCTGAGAAAGCTGTACAGGGCCTCGCTCTGGCTGAGGCGTTCTTCGTTCATCACAAACTGAAACCCAGATCACATACACTTCCCAATAACATGTTGAGCCACGGCATTAACTCTTTAGGTGAGCACACTTCAAAAATAATAATAATAATTGAACCTTGCCTCGGACCCCATACTGTGATGCACACCGATCATGGCAACACTCCCACAGAGTTATCATAGTTGATTGTGAGTGGTTTTTAGAGTTCTGTGCCACTTGGTGTCGTGTAGTGTCAGAATATGGCAGCACATGCACACGCTCTTCCTTGTAAAAAAAAAAAAAAAAGTGAGCTTAGATTTGCATGCAAATTTTTTTCTCTACGCACCCAACCACTCGCTTACGATCCCTCCACGCACACACATATTGTAATTAACCGAGACAGAAACAACACCAGTTCGTAGGGCAAGCTGTTGTATTGTCTACTATTTCCTTCACTTTGCTGTCAGTGCCCTCATGCATCTGAGCCCAAGCTCGAGTGCCACCGCTATTAGTCATCTCAATACGCATGTCTATTACATGTACAGTCGAGCCCGCTTATAACGAACCTAAGCGTGACGCGGCATCTGTTTGCTGTATCCCGAAATTGGTAGTAAATGAAACACAGCTTTAAAAAAAAGTTGCGAGTGAAAACAGAAACTTTTTTTGCCCCAAAAAGTCCGTAATGCACGTGTTTCGAAGAGCAGAAACGCTAAGGACGGTCTCGAGTTCATTTAAAACGGCAGGCTGCTCGTTCGCCGAGGCCCGTGGCATAAGCTGCATGAGGCGCTGGCTCCAAAGATTCGTCGTTCTCGCAATTCGATTCCTCCAAATCGCTCTCGCCACGTACTTCATTTACAATGCCCCAATCTGTACACGGTTCCGCAGTGTTGGCATCATCATTGGCCGTAATTAAATCATCGCAACAGATGTCCTACCCGCTCTCCCAGGTCGGAATCGACGACGCGCTGCCACAAATCGCCGCCACAGTGGTGCTGTTTGGAAGCTTCAGGCTCGGCATCGGGCCCGACGATCAACGAAGTCATTTTCGCGAAAATAGTTTCACGCACATGTAGCCGTCACCAGCACCCACGAAATATTCACCATCTCCACAGCTGAATACCGGGATGCCCGAAGCAGCGAGTTGGCTGCCAGGTGGTCAACAGCTACGAGCAAGTGCTCCGTAACGCGGCACCTAACACGCGGATTACGCTCAAGCCAAGCGATCGTACTTCCGGCCTTTTTTTTTTTTTTTTTTTTGAGCAGCGAACGGAGTCAGCGAACGGGAGGACTAGCACGAAAAAGCGTGCTAGTCCTCCCGTTCGCTGACTCCGTTCACTGTAACCGATCAGCGGCCCTTGGAGACGTTCGTTGTAAGTGCGATTCTGTGCCATCGAACCAATGTATATTTTGACGGTCACGCCGATATTGTTCGTTTTAAGCGAAAGTTCGTCCTTAGTGGGGCCGTTATATGTGGGCTCGACTGTATATCTTTTTCGAGAATATGAGGGAGGAGCATGCTCAGAACTGAGGGGCGGTTAGGAGTGTGAAAACAATCCCTGCTAATTCTAGATATTATATTCGACTTCAACCGTAAATGCTGCGAGCGTTTTGTGAATACTGTACTCGTTCCTTTCCTGTTTGGCCTCCATTCGAGGTAAGCTTTCTTCTTTGTTGACAGCTTTAGACTTTAGAGGGTTGGCACAGATACAAGTAAATATGGCAATTACCTTCAAAGAATATCTGCTTCTTCAGTAGCCCTCCAAAGTCTATAAGTGCTACGGCACTGCTGCCATATCTGTGCCTCCTGGGAGGTGAACTTTCAAAGCACTTCATATGATGCTACTCAATTGGCTGTAATCAGCTCCAATGCTGATTACAGCCAATTGGCTTCCACCACACATTGAACCCATCCAAGGGAGACGCACATTAAACAATTTCTGGTAAAGGCAGCTGCAAAACTGAAGAGCCCTCACATCAAGGAACCACTGCAACATTGGCTGGGTCTTGTCCAAAAAGGCTTGGTCATAGCTGCGGAAGCGAGGTTTGCTAGCAGATGGTAAGCTCACTTGCTTGAGCCCAGGGCACAGCTGCAGTGGTAACAGTTGCATCAGCAAACTCTGGCATAACAGGTCATTTGGGAAATGAAAAGCCTGTACTTGCCGGCAGCAGCCTTTGGCAGAGGCATTGGAAATCGCCGATGGTCTTGGTAACTACCCAGCCAGAATGGTCGTTATCCGGTCTGCTCACCAATATGGTAAAGTATGGCACTGGTTTAGGAGTAAAATCCTTAACAATCTAGAAGTGTGAAAAAAATAAGCATTTATGTTCTCACCTGCCACGAGAAGCTTGCATTCAGTACATGCCCCCCATCCCAGGCGTTTCAAGAGCTCAGGTTGGTTCCCCAACTTTTGGTGTACTCTCTGGCAGCCGTTTCACAGAAATCTCTTTATTCCCATTTATTTCACTTTTCAGGCCTTTAAAATTTGGATCTTGAGCCAGTGACCGGTCAAACATTCAGCGGGGAATGCCCCTCAAACAGATTTATACGTGCAGGAGATGTTGCCTAGATAAACAAGTGAAGTGCCTACTTCTGACATAGTGTCATGACAGCTGTGGCAACGAATTTCTGCCTTGATGTAGAGCTTTTGCACAAAAATAACAGGAGTCTTACCATCGTAGGGCTTTACTGAAAAATAAGTATTGTCTAAAGAAAAAGAAACTCTTGCATAACTAAAGCCTCCCATGCCAGAATTACCTCACTTTCGTCTGCCCGGTGCATGTTTTAATAAGTTGAACAAAGCATGACAACAGAAATTACCTAAGACAAACAGTAGAACCACAAACACAACAATAACAAAGGGGCACTGCTTTGAAACGCCATACTGTGCACATGAAACCATTAACCCAAGGATGACAATAAATCTGGAATATCCCACTAGAGCGCTTGACAATGAGATGGTGGTGACAAGTCAAACACACTAAAAATTTCCAAATACACTACAATGAAATCTGGAGCCAGTGCCCACTCCCGTATGGTGAAAGATAACAGGGCAAGATTGGGGGGAGGGGGAGGCTTGCTTGGTTGCGGATGGCAGTGGGGAAACCTCTAAGAAGAATGCACACCTGTGCTTTTGACGAAACGCTATATTGACTACACAAGCATTTAATCAACCAGACAAAAAACTCTTAAATTTTATGTGTTAGGACAGGGGGGGGGGAAGATGTTTTTTAAATGTTACAACATTAAGTGACAACTCAGAATGAAACCCATAGGTAGCACCTAGTCGAAGTGGTAAAAATTCGTGCAAAAATTGAAAGACTCTCCAAAATTGGGTTCCCGAGAATCACTGCTGCATAATTCGGAAACGGAGTACAGGATTAAAAAAAAATTATCGGAGGGAAAGAAGGGTGATGCTTGCTCAGAATTTCAGGCAAATAATTTATAAACATTATCAAAATATACGTATACTCTCTGCCTAATGTTGCTTCCCCCACCCCGTTCCACCACTTTACTGAACATACAAACTCAAACTTAAGTTACATATCATTTCGAGCTGGGAAGCATTCACTGAGAATTCTCAGCAATGGATCGTTTTTTGCTCCAGAGACACTGCTCTATGTGCAGACAAAGCCCAACGGGTGAGTCCTCTTGTGTACACGGTTTCAACCAGACGACGAGCGCAGCTTGTGTTCTTGCAGGGTGGCACTTGCTGGGTGTGAGGCGCACTATCATATAGCTTACGTCACTCAATGGGCCAATATAGAGAACCTTATGCATAAACTGCCCTTTTGTAATGGGGTTTAGAAACACACAGAGCCACCAGGGACATAGCTCACAGAACTGTGCTTGCGTCTGGCCTTTGACGAGCCTCTTCAGCCCAACAGTCTTAGCGGTCATCAAAGGGAGGATAGTGTTCAAAGTATAATGAGGTGGGCACATGCCATTTTGCGTCTTATCGTGTTGAAGGCGCATGTTATAAACAGCAAAATCTCGACCCGGTTTTTATGATTGGACGCCATATACATTGAATGCACGTTAGTAAGTGTCCGGTTTACACTCTTAGAAAGTCTGTTTACAGTTTGGAGATGGCAGGGTGTTGAAAAGTAGACTCACACAAGCACCACAATTCCTGCACAATAGCTGCAGTGAACGGGCGTTCACAGTCCCTAATCATCACTCGGGGCGTCTCGTGCCGGTGAACGGCAGAATGCAGCAAAAAAAGAGACGGTAATAGTATAGAGTAATGGAGGCTTAAAGTAGAGCAGTAAAGTAAGCTTAAGGTATAGCAGTAAAGGGCCAGTTTCAGTGTAGCTCTTCTTATATAGTACACTCAATCCCGGATATATCAAACGCAGATATATCGAATTATTGGCTATATCGAACAGTTGAGAAATCCCCTCGAATTTCCTATGCAAAAGTATGAGACAGGTGCACCCATACATTAAACTCCCGCACAGAGGAACATTCGCTATTGTGACCTAGCCAAGAACGATGCGGTAAACCAGTTTTATTAGAGCGAACTTGTGCTCGGCAATAAGTGCAAAATGAGAAGGAATACAGGTGGCGAAGATACCGCCCACCGATCGACGTCGGCGGAAAAACGAATGTCATTGTGCTTCTAGTGTGAGCATTATATATCTTGTCGTAATCTCCACCAACATTGACTTACACAGGTAACACCTGTCTAATGGTGCCAGGGTGAAACGCTCTCCCTATTAAATGAGATAGTCCAAGGAAGGAGGAAAACATGCACTTTGCTTGCAGCACAGTATGAGCGCGACTCACAACATATAGCATGATCGAACGCAGCCAGATGTGAGCCACGAAACGTAAACGAGAAGGCATAGTTAGCGGCTTTGCCCTCCATTTTAAAAAGCATTAGCCTGATGCTACTAATGAAAAAAATAGTCAAGAAAAAGTTGGTCATCTGGCGTAGTAATGCTTAAGCCTAACTACGTGGACAACTTTGAGACGTGCACATCATCATGACATGCCGTGGTCGCCATCGGGAACAACCTCGTAGATGAGTGGGCCTAAACGTCGCTGCTGAATTTTATAGGGCTTGAAGTACTGACACAAAAGCTTTGTCACTGAGTACGCGACGTAAAATATGGGTTCAAACCCACACGAGATCACCTGGGTCATAATCAGCGTCGCGGCGTCCGAGGTTGTAGCGTTCGGCATCCACGAGGTGTTTGTGTGTTGTACGCACTTGAGCAAGCTGGCGGGCTATTTACGTGACTTGTAGGTACCTTTGGACGTTGGTGTTGAGGTCATCATCTTCTACATGTGGAAGCATGGCGTCGAGCATTGTCGTTGGCTGTCGCCCATAGGCAAGCTCGAACGGGGGGGGCACTTGAGTAGTTTCTTGCATAGCTGTGTTGTACGCGAACGTGACAAAGGGAGTACGTCAACCCACATCTTATGTTCACCGTCGAAGTACATATATAGCATACCTGCGATCGTTTTTATTCAGGTGTTCAGTTAAACCGTTCGTCTGGGGATATGCCATTGTCTTCCAGTGATCCGTGTGGCTGTAGTCCAAGACCCATTGCATAAGCTCTGCAGTGAATGCCGTACAGGGGTCCGTGATCAGTACTTCAGAAACTCCACGTCGCAGCACCACCCAGCGTATGAAAAAATTGGTGACCTCTTTTTCAGTTCCCGTTGGGAGCGCTGCGGTCTCTGCCTTGCACATCAAGTAGTCGGTGGCTATTACCATCAACTTGTTCCCGGCCTGTGACGTGGGGAACGGTCCAAGAAGGTCCATGCCATTCTGTTGGAAGGTCCTCGATAATACTGCAACCGTCTGTAAGAAGCCAGCGGGTCTGGTAGGCTGCGTTTTTCAGCGCTAGCAGTCGCGGCAGCTCCTGACATAGTAGGTGATGTTGGATGTGAGACGCTGCTAGTAGTACTTCGCCTTGATCTTTCCCAGCGTGTGGGCCGTGCCGAGGTGCCCAGATGTCGGCTCGTCTTGACACGCTGCCAAGATCTCGTCGCGGAGACCAGCGGGGATGATAAAAAGGTACTTTGTACTCATTGTAAGGTCAAAGTTCTTCTTCACGAGCACCGAACTTTTCAGATAAATATGTAGGGTTTAACGTCCCAAAACCACCATATGATTATGACAGACGCCGTAGTGGAGGGCTCCGGAAATTTTGACCACCTGAGGTTCTTTAACGTGCACTCAAATCTGAGCACACGGGCCTACAACATTTCCGCCTCCATCGGAAATGCAGCCGCCGTAGCCGGGACTCGATCCCACGACCTGCGGGTCCGCGACCTGCGGATCAGCAGTTGAGTACCTTAGCCACTAGACCACCGCAATGGGGCGAACACCCAACTTTTAAAACCAATGGCGGCAGTGTTGCACTTAAAGACCCTTGGCACTGCGGCATTGTGTCCTTCGAGATGTTCGATCAGGGCGCGCAGCTCGGAATCGGCATGCCGCTGAGTGGCAAGGTCGTCTGTCACGATACCAAAAAACTGGACGTCATCCTCAAGGTCCTGTGGCGGCCCGTCGACGGGAGCGGGTGATGGGCAGTCGGTGTCCGAATGTTTCCTGCGGATTTGTAAACGATGGAGGCGTCGTATTCCTGCAGGAACAGGTTCCATCGCCCCTGGCGGCCTGAGGGGTCCTTCAAGTTTGCGAGCCAGCACAGCGCATGGTGGTCGGTCTGCCGTAGACCTGCAGCCTGCCGTAGACGTATGGACGAAACTTTGAAATGCCCCATATTATTGCAAGGCACTCTTTTTTGGAGGCCGAATAGTTCCTTTTTTTTTGGAAAGGCCACGGCTGGCGTAAGGGATTACTTTTTCACAGCTGTTCTGCTTTTGTACGAGGACAGCTTCCAAGATTACGTCGTTTGCGTTGGTGTGCACTTCTGTCTCTGCAGAATCATTGAAATGTGCAAGCACAGGCAGGCACTGTAGGGAATTTCGCAGTTCACCGTACGCATTCTGCTGTGCTTTTTCCCAGCAAAACTGAGCATTGTCTTTCGTCAGACATGCGAGCGGTTCGATTTCCGCGAAGTTTTCCACAAAGCGCCTGCAGTACGCGCACAGACCGAGGAATCGTCCCACGCCTTTTTTGTCTTTCGGCCTCAAAAAGCTTGCTATGGCTGACGTTTTTGGGGGGTCACGTAGGACAACCTGTGGCTGGAGAACTGTGGCTGGAGCAATTTCAATTTTCTAAACTTTTCTACCCAGCCAGACAGATTGCTGTCAAAATGTTTACGTTTAGGACAACCTCGGCATTGACGATGTGGCCAAGAAACTTCAGTTGGTCGTATGC